TAGTGACCAGCAAGAGTGGTAAGAGGCACATTTTCGTCATCATCGACCGATTCACCAAGTACGCTAGACTAATACCAATGTCGGAGACAGCCAGGACCGAATACGTTATCAAGTTGTTCAAGGACAACTGGGTGCGGGACTTTGGTTTGCCAAAGACTATCGTTAGTGATAGAGACGTCCGATTCACAAGTGAGCTATGGAAGAAGACTGCGGAACAAATGGGCAGTCAACTTCAGATGACTTCAGGGAATCATCCCGAAGCCAACGGACAAGCCGAACAGATGAATAGAGTTGTACAACACTTGCTGAGGCATTACATCAAGCCCAACCAAGATGATTGGGATGAGCAGTTGCCACTCATCGCCAGTTTGTACAACAATGCTGTGCACAGCAGCACCGGCGTGAGTCCTAACCAGCTACACTTGGGATGGAAGCCTAGATCCGCGTTAGACTTCCTCCTACCTGAAAACCGACCTGCTGCAACCCCAGGCACACTGGAATATGGTGTACAGTATGAGAAGTTGCTGCAAGAAGCTGTCGAGCACATGAAGAAAGTTCAGCAAGCAATGATTGCTTATGAGAATCAACATCGTAGACAGTCCACATTTCAGGTAGGGGAACGTGTCTGGGTCAAGGCTAGTGAGCTAGGACAAGAATTCGGAGTCTTTCGCAAACTAATGCCTCAATACTTTGGTCCCTGGGAAGTCCTAGATATAGTGGGAGATGAGATGGATGGTCCCACTTATGTCATTCGTGTCCCTGGACACCTACGCACTCACCCAATCTTTCATGCCTCAAAGCTTGCACCTTTCGCTGAGACTGATCAATTCCCTTCCAGGAGATCGATGCTGCCCCCAACCATGGATGGACAAGTCGACATCGATGACATTGTGGATCACCGGGACATGCCTGTTGCAAAGCCGCTGGGTCGAGGAAGACCTCCTAAACCCAGGAGGGAGTACAGGATCAGACCCAGGCATCATACGGATCCAAAAGAAGATCGGTGGTTTACCCGGGAGGAACTGATGGAAACAGCTCCTCAGGTGGTGGCAGATTATGAACGGAAGCTAAAAGGGAAGGCACCTGCGAAGTAAGCATCTCAGCGGGCTTTCGAAGCTAAGGGGGATGGAATGTGAGGATTGAGCCCTCAAGTAGGGCCCTTGCCAAATCAACAAGAGCCCTCTGTGCTAACATTTCACGAAGTGGGGTCCATACAGTTGTAGCACGCCAGTTGGTTGGAGTGCACCGAGTCTCGGATTTCAGCAAATGCTGAAATGCCCAGGGCCTCTGAGTTAGTTAGGCCCTGGGCACTCGAATGTGAGGCCGACAATCCATGCTGGGTATAGAGGCCGAAAATGCCAAAGGGAAATCGGCCCACTGTCTGAATCTGGCCGCAGGCCTTGATGAAGGAGGCGCAACTGCATTGCCCCGGGGCCCAACTGTATCGGGCTGGGCTCAGCCTCTGGGTCCCGGTCACAGGCTGAAGGGAGGCCGCCCACACGCTGCACTGGCATATAGGCAAGCAGGGCGAGTGGGCAGGGATCTTGGCCAATGCTGGCATTGCGGGCACGCTGCGCGGATGCATGTGTGCTGCGCTAAGGTCAAGCAGGCTAGCGCTAGGCGGCAGGGCGCTGCCTGCATGCAGGGCACTGGCGGCATAGCCGGGCCGCATGAGAGTGCAGAAGAGGTGAAAGGCGAAGGTGGTTCTTCGGAGGTGAAGGGCGCTGTGTGGGTAACAAGGGAGAGTGTGGGGAAGAGGACACGTACCTGGTGGAGGTGGAGGTGAAACGGTTTTCACCTTTTAGCAGTAGCGGATGCAGTACCCAGGGTTCGATCCCTAGACCTCACCCTACCCATGTACAGTATCTGTGTAGACCTCGGGAATTGAACCTGTGACCTGTGTATTCGTAGGCAGTTGGTAGACCTGTCGTAGGTCCATAGACAGCAGGGGTTCGATCTGTAGGTCTATAGCGTAGGAGTCTTAGTGAGTTC